GAAATCAAAATGTCAACAAATACCTAATAAACACCGATATTTATGTTTAACATGGAAAACGCGAAAACAAAAATGGGTTGTAAATATTGTTTTGTGCCTTGTTGTACAAATACAACCTGGAAAACTCCTGGGAAAAGGTTTATCACCGTGCCAAAAGGGAAAATAAGGATAAAGTGGATTAAAATAGCTCGGCGCGATATCAAAACATCGTCACCGCAGTCAACATTTTATTGTGTTTTTACCTCTAGATTACATTAAAAAGGTTTTTGGGGATTTTCATTTTTGATGCAATTACTCTATTACATTTATAACTACTTTAGTTTGTTTTAATCAATGCAACCAACTTTGTTTCCGTATTTACCAACCAGACCCCTAAATTTGCAACGTTGCCGCAGTCCAGATAAAAGAAAATGAACTTTACAAGGTCTAAATGCATTGATTTTAGTCACGCAATGTCAGTAAACTCGGCATGGTTTGGCAACAGTTCCTCGGGAATGAACGGGGGCGTAGGAAAACTGCTGTTAGAAGATAAAATAGATTTCTGCAGTGCAGGCGGCACAGCGAAGATAAATCGTATCGATTTCATCGATTATTTCATAGGCACCTACAGATTCAGATCGTCCTTTTTATTTAGGAATCCGGGATTCCACAAGCTGATTTCCAACGAGCTTTTCAAACCGTTCGACAAGAACACTTGGTACGTGACTTTGGCGACTGCAACCGTAATTTTGGGGTTTTTGAAGTTAAGCGGTATGGTGCAAAATCGGTTGACCGAGGAGGATGATCAAAGCTGGTTCGGTTTTTTGTTGGTTATGATTAGTATATTCTCGCAACAAGGTGCTAGTAATTGTCCTATCCATTTAACTGGAAGAATTGTAGTTCTTACTATCTGCATCATGTCTATAATGCTGTACAATTTCTACACATCCAGTATAGTGTCAATACTACTCAACTCATCCCCAGCCGTACTCTCAACAATCCCACAACTAGTCGATAGCAAAATGGAAATCAGCGCCCAAAATGCACCGTACTTTATAACCTACCTACAACTTGCCGACTATGAAGCAAGAAAAAGTCTCAACAAGTCCAGTTTATACAAATCTAACTCTGGAGAGTTGAATCTTCTGAGTCTTCAGGAGGGCATCAAAAGAGTTAAACAAGGTGGAGCTGCGTATCACTCTTTTGTTGGATCCGCATACTCATTAATTACCAAAACCTTCGAGCAAAATGAAATTTGCGATTTGGCAGAAATTAATTTTGGTCAAGTGGGGGATTTATCGTTTATGGCGCAAAAAAATTCGCAGTACAAGGAACTATTTCAAATAAGGTACTATGCGCCACACCTCAAAGTCCCACCACGTGACCACGTAAGGAACGCAGTCTTTTGAAAATTTGGCATTTAAGGCTTTTCAGGTTATGTATCTGTCAAAGTATAGTCAATGAAAGAAATAATATTTATAGTGTTAACGCTTATGTTTAAGCGTTAAAAGTTAATAAATCTTTATAGTATCACAATAACAATGGTTGGTTTAAGAATTTAGGAATATAAATACTGCATTTAATGAAATTCCAAAGTGTAAGGTGCAATATAAGTAATATTTTTGTGCGTTGGGTCTACATTTCTCCATAAAATAGTTTTAACTAAACAGCATTTATTAAAAAAAATCTAACTTCTCTATTATGAAATAAGAATATCTGTATCAAAGCTAGCCCAGTAAACACAGGACTCGCGGGCCAGAGATGGCGAGAATACTTTTTTCCGAACTGCCGGATTCGGCCCGAAACATGGTTGGCGGCGCGGCGTGTAGGTAGGGCATGTCCGCCTGGCAGACTTTCTGCCGACTTACCGTAAAGCCGAGTCATTAGCGGGTATTAGCTAGTGGGTTACTCGGTGGCCCGCCACCCGCTTCCGTGCTTTCGGCAAGGTTACGATACGTTGCTTAATAAGTAAATTGCCCAGTACACACAGACTCGCGGGCCAGAGATGGCAAGAATACTTGTTTTCCAATCTGCCGGATTCTCCCGATATATGGATGCAGGCGCTGCATCAGCTAGTGGGTTACTCGGTGGACCACCACCCGCTTCTATACTTTCGGCATGGCTGGCGTATATCATACGGCTAACGTTCGGTTTTGATACCTTTTGCCGTTTTCTAACCGACAATGGGCCACTTGTGGTTAGTAGGGAAGTGATAGGGAAACAATTAAAAAAATATGGAAAAATATAAAAATCGAAAAAAATATATTTGAACGCTACAAAACAGATAAAATAAAATAAAATTTAACAAAAATAAAATATCAACAAAACTACACTCTACTTCAGGTACTGTCTGTCCACTCTAAGTTGGCTGAACTAAGGAATTTTGTTGTTTAGATATTAATGAATTGTCGTACTGTGTGCTTTTAAAACAGATTTTATATTATAAATAATACTAGTATATAATATGTACTAGTATTATTTATAATATAAAATCTGTTTTAAAAGCACACAGTACGACAATTCTTTAATATCTAAACTACAAAATTCCTTAGTTCCGCCAACTTAGAGTGGACAGACAGTACCTCCTTTTCTATAACATTTATATAAGAACCCTCCGAAAACCCATCAGTTTTGGGTAGTTCTTTAGGTATATTTAAGGGTATATTCTCGGGTATATTACTAGCTGTGTTGCTTGATATGTCTATACTATTAGAACAAGAAGGTTGGTCATTATTACTAGACACAGAACTTGTAGGTAATTGGAACGATGTATTATTTGTTAAATTGTCATCCGTTAATAAACAATCTTCAATTAAACATTTTATTTGTTCACTAAGCACAAGACGTTTAAAAAATTGTGGCGTTTGCTTACTTTTTTAATAAAAGACATATTGACTTAATTCTTTTAAGAAATATCCTAATTCAAAAATAAACGATAAACCTGAAAATACCCTTAACAAATACCTACCTAAGACTAACAGTGAAATGGCAAAATATGCAAAATATAATAAATTATGTTGTTTCAACTTACTCTTCACTTGAGTCTGCCATTTTACAAACTATAATATAACCTAAAACTACACACAAAACTAGTTTGTCACAAAAAACACAATTTTCAAACAAAAACCGTCACCAAAACACGTACCTATATCGTTTATAGCACAATTCACAATGTGGATTGTGGTTTATAGTATATGGATAATTTATAAACTATTTTCTTTAAAGGAAAACAACATAACACTGTCCTGAACAATCCTTAAAAAGCTTTTCTGGAATATAACCTAACATTGAAACTTCGTTCACGTGGTTCAGCTAAACTACTAAAGTAAAGTGTTTGCGACATCTTTGATCTGTGTTTGGGACTACGAATGCCAAAGACTTAAAATGAGGAGAGCGGGTATCAGCGTACTTAACGAAGACGGCCCGAAAGTAGCAAATAATCCAGCCCGTTCATGGGCTATACTTTTTCGGATAGCATTCGGGCGCGAAGGGTGGATCCCGGTTACTGGTTTGCCGAAATCGGGCCGTATTTTAACCGAATTTGGAAAAATGCCTACTGGGGAGTTTGTATGCGGGCCGTAAGTGATCCGGACACGGCAAATTATGCCACCAGTCTCCCGATAGTGCCGAATGTTGGCCGAATGTTTCCCGAGAGTTCTGTGTTTACTGGGAGGTTAATGTATGAGAACAAAAAATATCATCTAATTTTGTATTTTAAGGTTAGAAAAATCTATTTTGACCAAAATAAATAAGTGGATTATTTGGAAGAGTGTGTTAATATGGTCATAAATAAATATAGGTATACTAAATAATTGTTGAATATGGTTCAAATTAAATTGAAGCTTGTATACTTCTAATGACAAAACTTGTGCATACCTCTCGGCATACCTACTTTAAGTTAGATTATAAGAAAACAAACAATTTTTAGAGAAACTTGCTAGGTGAAAATATTTAATACTCCCACAACATGTGATTTATTAAAATTTTTAAAGATTTTTCAATGTAGGTAGATCAAGCTCAGTTGAAGCTTTTTAACTATTTGTATTGACAAAACTTTATGTAGGTACACTTTAAGCTGAATAAGAAAAACTACCACATTTTTAAATACCATATTATACAGTCTTTTAAATAATCCAAAATAATTATTTATTTTGGTAAAAATAAATTTTTTTAACCTTAAAATTACAAAATTAAATGATATTTTTGTTATAATATATTAACCTACCTTTAATACAGATATTCTTATTCCATAATAGAGAAGCTAGATTTTTTTAAATAAATGCTGTTTAGTTAAAATTATTTTATGGAGAAAGCCAGATATTTGGACCAAATGCACAAAAATATTACTTATTTGGCACCATACACTTTAGAATTTCATTAAATGCAGTATTAATATTCTTAAATTCTTAAACCATCCATTGTTATTCTAATGTTATAAAGATTTATATACTTTTAACGCCTAAACATAATATTACTTCTTTCGTTGACTATACTTTGACAGATACATAACCTAAAAAGCCTTAAATGCCAAATTTTCAAAAGACTGCGTTCCGTACGTGGTCACGTGGTGGGACTTTGAGGTGTGGAGCATAGTACATACACTTTGCACTACATTGTGTAGGTAGGGTTGCCAGGTTTAAACATTGTCCATAACTTAAGTTCTACAAACTACAAATAAAATTTTTAAGATAACAAGGAAACCATAAATCATCCGGCAACCCTACTTTCAAGTGTTTTTAGTCAAATGATATTATCATCAAGTATGCTTAATTTTAGTTTAATATTAATGAGAACATCAGGAATAATAAAAAGGACCCAAATCCAATGGAAAGCCACGAAACCTGTTTGTTTCTCCAACAACAGAGTCGAAGCAGTCAGTTTCAGTCAAGTTTTCGTGATTTGCCTCATATTATTCGTCGGAATATGTTTTTCAACTCTAATTCTAGTCGTTGAAATTACATGGAAGATTAAAAAATAGTAAATGATTATAGGCAACCCAGAATACACAGCCATCTGTTTAGCAGTGGACGCACTAATTAACTTTGCAAATGTTACCGATAGATAAAAAAGCTGTTCAGGGTTTTGTTTTTATGCAATAAAAAGTTTAGCACGTTAGGCCTTGTTTTATTAATTTTTTTACCAAAAACATCGAAAACTGTGCGACCGTAAATTACAACTTTTTTAGTTTATTTTTATTTCCAACGACATTTTGACAGTTGACAGCAAAGTGACATTTGTTGGGAGTTTATTGTATACCATGAATTTAAATCGCTGTGTTTGTTAAATGATTACCATTAAATGCGCATTATGTTTAGTTTTATTAAATATGCATTTATCTTAGTTGTTTTAGTGGCAGATGGATTAGGTAAATTAAATATTTGCAGAGTAGTTTTGAGTTTGATTGTTGTGTGGTTTTAGTTGATGCTAATAAGGAGGTACAGCTGACATGCAATGGGCCCATTGTTCAAGGGGGCACGATAACTTTCGATGCGGTGGCTTTGGAAAATAGGCACCCCGCTAAGGGGCCTTTCCAGTTTTTTTGGTCGGACAATGTGAAGCCCCCTCATGAACGAGATGTGAGTCATTGTTGTTTTTGTTTAAACAATTTGACAGTTTTAAGTCGAAATAATTCAACTTTTACTAAATATGTAATAACTTAAGGTTAAACAGTTTAATAACAATACCTCGAACAATACCTACTACAAAGAAAATCATGAAAGTATTAAAACAACATTTTATTTAAATACTTGCAAATAATCTGGAACTTTTTGTAAACTTATGCGCCTTTTATTTTATGGCCCTTAATTGTGTTGATTCACAATATATGATTAAAAAAAAATTCAAAAACACAAATAGGAATGTCAAAGAATGTCAAAATAACACAATTTAGAATGTCAAAACAAAATTTAAATGCTTATTTCTTTTTTATTTTATTAAAAAATAAACTCAGTTAGGACTGAAATAAACCACATTTTAGTACCTAGTTTAACTTAAAAGTTTGCTCAAAAATATTGCTTAATTTGCCAAAAACACCTGTTAAAATTCTAGAATGCTTTGTAATATTTTGACATCAAATCTTATTTAAGAATGTTATAAAACAACTTAGAATTGTATAAACACATTTTAGAAGGTTTAATTTAAAAATATCAAACTTAAAAATGTTAAAAGACTAACAACAAAATTAAGAATATCAAAAACACATTTTAAAATGTAAAACCCGCATTAGAATGCAAAAACTTAATGAATAGAATTCCTGAACTATTTTGATATCAAAACTGTTTTAAAATGTTATGAAGCAATTTTGAAACACATTTTTGGAGGTTAGGAATGCAATATAATATTCTAGAATGTCAAAAATACAGGAATGTTAAAAATTCATCTTAACCTTTCAGTAGTCGCGCTATTTTTTTTTCAAGTATAGTCGCCCCGGTCTGTAACACCGGGTTGATTTTTTATAGGTTTTGCGATTTTTTTTTATAAATATTTACTATCAGTGAAGTTTTATGGGTAAAAAGGTACATATAGGTACAAAAAAGTGATAAGAAAAAATATATATTTTAGAAAATACAGGCAAAAAACAAAAATAAAATTCATATAAAAAAGGTCTTTAAACTTTTAACATACAAATAAAATTGCAACTTAAAAAAGTTAAAATAAAAAAAAATATTATTTTTTGGTCCTTATTTAATACGGTAGTAAAAGAAAAATTGAAAAATTAAGCTTCGAAAGGACTTTGCTTGCAAGATTGGCAAATGCCTATTATGTGCTCTAATTTATTTTTGTTTTTTGCCTATATTTTCTAAAATATATATTTTTTCTTATCACTTTTTTGTACCTATATGTACCTTTTAACCCATAAAACTTCACTGATAGTAAATATTTATAAAAAAAAAATCCCAAAACCTATAAAAAAAACATGTAGGTATTACGTTTAAAACACACAAATCCAGTTTTTCTATATTTTTTACAATTGCAATAGGCACATCTACCAGGGGTAATATTTTCTTGAGATTTTTGAAGTACAATTCCACAAAATTCTTAAAGTGAAAATTTCAAATTTTGTGGAATTTCGGTCAAAGCAGCACGAGTTATTTGTAACACGAATGGTCACCCCGGTCTCACACACCGGAAGTCACTATAATTCGCAATAAATATGTTCAATCGCATCCAAATTGCAACTGAGCATGCATGTACACTATTTAGGAAGGTACGTGGGCGGTGAAGTTTTTATCTCCACCATCTTCAAAGTTTAGTTTAATTTTAAATCGCCCCGGTGTCAGACACTGTGCGCGACCACTGAAAGGTTAAAATGAGTATGAGTATGAGTATAAGAGACGTATAACCAGCCCCATTTCCTCTTGACTCTCGAACCCCGTACAGGCCTATGTTTACTTACGCCGATTTTTGTTCTTCCCCAGCAACTGCACGGCTTCACCCGTGTTTGCTGGGTGCGAATGCCCATTGCGTTCCGTACTGTCCCCTATTTGGGGCTCGAGAGCGAGAGGCGAATAGTTATAATAGCCGTTCCCGGGTTCGCCGGGCCTATGCTATACGCTCAGTGGGGTATGGAGGAGGGACGGGAAGGTGTTGGTTTTTGGGGGACAATTACGCCGAATTAAAACTAAGTACGACGCGGAATCCCCCTAGACCAGTCGATTAGTATTACTCCAAACATTTGGGACTACTATTTGGAGTTGGGGAATTGTTATTTCGCTGCAGGGGTGTAGTTTCCTAGTCGAGGTCTTTGTCTTGTTCGTTATTGTCATTGTCCGTGTCCTGGTCAGATATTTCCTGCACTTGGTAAAGTGTGTCAGTTGTTTTTAATAAATTTTGTCCCAAGCACGTTTTGTGATAGAGTTTTGTCTTTTTTTTATTAATTTCCAAAATTAAGCATTGCATTTATTTGTTAGTCAAACAAATCACAAGCGCGATTATTCTGTTGTCTAATGTTTACAAATCTCGAGTTTGGCTATTAGGCTTTTTTTTTAATGTTAGAATTATGATTAATGTGCTAGTTTATTCTGAGTCTAGTGTTTATTTTCGGTCTCGATTGGGATTGCCTTACGCATTTATTGTTGACAGATTCATTGCCCCATTCCGTGTGCCTTTCGTAGGTTTCAAAGATATCCCAATAAACACTTTAACGGTACCTATCACCACCAACATTGCCCGTGTAAGAATTTTTGATACTTTTTAATACAATTTTGCAATGATAGTAATTAAAAACAAAACAATTGTTTAAAGAGTAAAATATGTTCCTAACATAATCATATTTTAAAGTTATTTTAACATTTTCAAGTAAATAAATGTTATGTTTAATAAAATGAATAACGGGCAATGTTAATGGTGACAAATAACGGAAAATGTTTGCTGGGATCTGCCGTATTTAAATTGCAGATTTGTATCAGGTCATGCAATTCTTAAAGTAACTTATCAGCTTTTTTTTTTGCGGATGGCCACCTCCCCTCTTGTTTGACCTCCCCTGTCTGTCCAGTGAAAAGCCTCCAATGGCAGGTGGCACTTCATTCATATCACTCAACACTTCACTCCTCACTTCACTCCTCAATGACTGTTACACCACTCTATGAAAATGTTTGTTTCACTTATTAGTTTGCACTTTTTATAATTATTGTTGGTTTTATCTTTAAACTCTTACGTTTCAAGAGCTTACCCGCACGCGACGTGTCTTCTGAAGCGCTGGAACCGACCACTGAAAGGTTAAAATGTTAAACAAATTATAAATAAAAAAACACTTTAGAATGTTCAAAAAAATTGTAAAATGTGAGACACTCATCAGAATAATGAAAAAAACATTTTGAAATAAAAAACAGTTTAGAATCTCAAAAAACATACTTTTGAATGTCTAAAACATTTAGAATTGTGTTGTTTTGACATTTTTAAGAGTTTGCTTTTAACAATGTCAAAACAAAAGAACGTCGAAAACACTAAAATGTGAGAAACCCATCAGAATAACAATAAACACAATTTAGAATGTTAAAAATGAAATGACAAAAACACATTTTAAAATGCAAAATTTACAATTTTAGAATGCTTAACATATTTTGATACCAAAAATCATTTAACATTTTTTTAATAAATTTTGAGTTCAAAAAACACACTTTAGAATGACAAAAACAAAAATTGTGTTTTGAAATTCTTAAAAATGGTTTTGACAATGTCAAAACAACACAATTTAGAATGTCTAAAACACATCATAAAATGTGTGATACCCATAAGAATAACGAAAAACAACAAATTTCTACTCCCACCTTTAAAACGCCCTTTATCGTACATGTTTCCATGACACTAAGTGACCTTTTAAATACACATTGACAAGTTGTGGCTTTATGGCGCTTTAGTCACGGGCTGAAGTCAGTTTTAAGTTAGTTGACAGTTGTCAAATGTCATACAATCGTTAAAATAAAGTGTCTTTCTTATAAAATAATACTTAATGTGAAAATTATTTTATTATCTCAATACAAAATTATTAAATAGTTTCTAATCGCCAATATTTGAAAAGTTTATATGAACATTGTACTGACCTTTTAATTTCGCCGGCAGTAAACGATAAATTAAATTCGGGCACGGACTCCACTGTAAAGTGCTCATAAAACATTTTCTTTACTTTCACTGTGAAAAACTGTCAATTTTCAAGAAATACATTTCGATTTATAACCTTTATAATCTGTGTTTATAAAATATAAAAAATTGACATTTGACGGTGACACACAGATTCCCATATTGTTTCATAGATGGCGCTCTATACAAATTTTTGATTGAAATCATTTTAAGTTAATAATAAGTATTTTCCGTAGAAAAAGTATAGTATTCACCTCGTTTATAACCTTTTCTATACACTCATTAATTTAAGCACTCGCTCGCAAGCTCGCTCGTGCCTAAATTAAATTCGTGTATAAAATGGCGTTCATCAAACTTGATACATAATATACTATAAAACCACAGTACCTTAAAATTTCAAAAACATTCAAAATTGTGTTGTTTTGATATTATTAAGTGATGGCGTTTGAAAATATCAAACAACACAATTTAGAATGTTAAAAATAAAATGTCAAAAACACATTTTAAAATGCAAAATGTACAATTTTAGAATGCTTAGCATATTTTAATATCAAAACTCATGTTTTAATAAATTTTGAATTAAAAAAACACTTAGGAATGTCAAAAACAAAAATTGTGTTTTAAAATTCTTAAGAATGATTTTGACAATGTCAAAACAACACAATTTAGTCGAAAACTTATTGTAAAATGTGAGAAACCCATCAAAATAACAAAAAACACAATTTAGAATGTTAAAAAATAAAATGCCAAAAACACTTTTTAAAATTTAAAAAAATGTTTCGAAAAAAATTGAATTTAAAAACAGTTTAGAATGCCAAAAACATATATTTATAGGTATAGGTACCTTAAAATTTCATAAACATTAAAAATTGTATTGTTTTGATATTCTTAAAAAAAATGTAAAATGTAAGAATCCCATTAGAATGACGTAAAACACTATTTAGAATGTTAAAAAATCCAAAAACCTTAAAATTTTAGAATACTTGAAATCTTTTAATTTTAAAACTCATTTAAAAATGTTATAAATAAAATTGGAATTGAAAAAACAAAGTTTTGAATCTTTAGAATGTCAAATACAAAATTTGTGTTTAAAATATTTTGATCGCAAAACTGATTTAATAATGTGAAACAAATAAAAATAAAATTGTAATTGAGAACGCCAGGCACATTAAAAATGTCAGATAACAAAACATATGTTTTTTGTTATTGCAGATAAAACAGGATGATCCAAAAGATCACTGGTCGATAAAGTATGATGAAACATATCCTGTAGGCGATTACGAGATGAAATTGCTGGTTAAAACATGCGTGTTGGAGATTATTTGCTATGAGTTTGGAACGGCTACGTTAGAGTTCAGAATAACTGGTAATAATCCTAAAAATATCGTAGATTACATAGTTTTGGTACCGATTTTTGTTTTTGTGCTATGTATTTTATAGTCATTAAAAATGTATTCCAAATATTCTTTGTTTTTAGAAACACTTAATGGTGGTATAGAAATAAGACAGGGCAATGAGACAAGGCTCGATAAGTACGTTTCCAGCGAAGAATTAACGAAACACAAAATAAATCTGTCGGCAACCGATCAGGATTTCGTTAAAAACGCCACCAGAATTTTAACCTACTGGTTCGTTGACTGCGTGTACTACGGATTTTCCGAGAGTTTCGATTTCAATTTTAACTTCACCAAACCAGGAGAGGAGCATGTGGTGGAGGCGCTAGTAACGGTAGACTTCACACCCCCACCACCTACCACGACAGTAGCGCCAACTACCACAACTCACAAACCAAACGTCACCACTACCACCACAACAAAACCAACTACAACAAAAATAACAACAACGACCAAAAAACCCAATGTTACGAAAAGTGTGATCAAAAGAAGCGTGGATTTGGTGACAAATAAAACAAGTATTATGCATCATGTAAATGGTACATTAAAGCCATACAATGATGAAGTTTTCCCTTTTGTTTGTAATGGCACCAAAATAGCAACAAGCTCAAAACTAACTTATGGGTATTTTTATAGGAAAGTAAAAGTAGAAGGTAAGATTCGTTCAGAGGTACAAAAATGTTAATGTAGTTTGAATAAATAAATCATTAAAAAAATTGGAATGAGAAATATTTTCATTACACATTGAAAAATTAATGTGGAACTGGGCCAAAAAAATCGACTATTTTTTTTTGTAAAGTATATCGAAAATATTCTTTGGGGTGACAAAAAAAATTATTGTGAAAGTTTGAGTCCATAATATTAATATCAAAAGTCTCTTAACATTTTTGGCTAAATTCACTCAATCAAAAGTTATTCGTAAGTAATATCATAAGAGCATCTAATTTTCCCGAAAAAAATCGAAAAAACACGTTGCTACGTAATATTTTAACAAGAAGCATGAATGTGTTATAATTTTTTTTAATTTTCAGTAATTTTATCATAAAGATTATCATCGATAAAAGAATTCAGGTTTTTAAATGACCAAAAGCAAATCTACAGCGGTAAAAACAAGAATTTCGTTTTGACTTCAACTTTAACCTTGAATAACTTTTGATGGAGTGAATTTAGCCTAAAAATGTTTAGAGACTTTTTTGTAGAGCATTTGATTTCCCATAAGAATATCTATCAGTTTTTTCCGGGTACTGATTTTTACATGAATTACAAAATTCCAAAGTTAAAAGATCAAATTGTTAAACTATACCAATTTTTAATGCATGATTATAAGGAAACGGTTCATCTGACGGGAACTTTTAATCAGGCCTTTTTTGTAGAGCATTTAACTTTCTTCAAAAAATATTCTAGTCAATTTATTTAAACCCAATGGTTTGGGAGTTCTCAGACATAAACTCGCTCAGGAAAAAAAATCTAAAATTGCGATGATAGACCTCTTAATATTAATATTATGGACTGAAACTTTCACAATAATTTTTTTTTTACCCCAAACAATATTTTCGATATACTTTACAAAAAAAAAATTATCGATTTTTTTGGCCCAGTCTAGAGGAACAATACAATACTCATTAAAAAAATAAAAAAAATGAGTAATGAAAGAAAAAACAAAAGACATTAGTAGGGTTGATGGGGTGATTTTTTATATGTGACAGTTTGAAAAATGTTGATTTACGATTTATTCTATTTTTCGATATTTTAAAATACCCATTAATATCCCTTTCTGGTAAAGTTTGATATTTTTTTGATTACTCGTTCATAAGATATCAAATTTTCAAATCAATCGCGTTTTTTGTTTTTTACTGCTAATTTCTTTAATAATGGTCCGAATTAAATTACCCTAAACATATTTGCAATTTATTTTGAGTTTTAAAATTTTAATTTTCAAACTGTTTGTATTCTTTGATTTCCTTGCAAATATTTTACTTTAAACTTCTACCCACTATATAGTGGGATTATCATAATTATCATTTATTTCTCATTAACATAAAAAAATTGTAATTGCAAATTTCAAAATACTCATTACAAATTAAAAATGAGCAATGTAAAAATAATACATTACACATTGGAAAAAATGTAATGAGTATTTAACTTCATTTTCATTAAAAAAGGAGTCATTCATAATAAAAATTAAACACATTACTCATTATTTTAATAATGTGTATTGAAAAAATAATGCATTATTTATAATTTATTATAAATATTCGTATTTTCGCGCTTTCATGGCGTATCCAAAAAAATGTTTGTTAAAAATATATCCAGGGGCAGATTTCGTAGTTTGATTTTTCTCAATCAAAATTTTTTCTAGGTCTGAAGGTTTAGATAAAGTATATAAATGCATATTTAAGAGCTTTTCGTTTGACATTTTTAGCTTTAAATACGTTCAATGTTTTCGTTTAAGTTTTCGAATATACGTTTATAGTGCGTGATTTAATTAATTTTAATCGACTCTAGACGCATTTTCCATGATTTCAGCACCAATTACAAAGGTAAACACAAGCGGAAACTTTTGGTTGCAACAAGGAACGATTTTCCGTATGAAAGTGATGTGCCAAACCACACCAAACATGCAATTTTGCATAAACACCTACCCAGGGTCTCATAACTCAACGCAAAACGAGACCTGTTATTCGTACAGGAAATTGGACAATTGCGATTTCGAAATTGAAAGATATTACCCCAACACACACACGTTGGTGCTGATCATCAAAAACGATGTCAGCAAAGTTGTAACTCCCATTAAAGTTACCATTTACAACGGTAAGATTAGACTGAAGATTTATCTGAAATTTATTGATTTTTTGGTATATTTTTCAGTGCAAACACAGCCACAATTGTCGATTGTAGTTGTGCCGGTTGCCTTTTCTTTAGTTGCCGTGGTGATGATTATATTTGGAGTCGCTTATTACATACAAAACAGATCTCAGTAAGTATAATATAATACAGGGTTTTACTTTCGTTTTAGATATCGATTTGAAATTTGAAAAGCGTTTATAATCCATTTAAATCTATTTTTCTATAATATTTTGAACAAATTACCACTTCCGGTTTAACCGGTTTAACCGGAAGTGGAATTAACTTTGTTATTTCAAATAGAACACCATATATATTTAAACATTTTTAAATTCTACATAAAATTCTGAGTAAAATTACTATACCATGTGAATAGTTTTCGAGTTATTAATTTTTTTCTTTAATATTTGAGAAATGCGCATCAATCAAAAATAGCCTATAACTTTTTCGTTATTAGGTTTGCAAATATGTGGATGGCGTTTTGGAATCTTAAAACATTGTTTAAAAGATTCCAGGTATAGAATATCATAGAATAGATTTTATTAGTTTAAAATATTGCAGTGTTTACAATGTTGAATACAACAAAAAACAATACATAAATGTTATAAAAAACTAAATATAAACAAATACAAGAAATTCTTCTAACTTAAAAAAAATATCAACACAGTAATCACATCTGTTTACAAGGTATGTTTTTAAAGAAGGTCTTTTATTGTTTTTGATAATTTATTATATAGAACCAGAGCAAAGTTTTGTATAGGTACTCTTGTAAACAGTGTGGATCCTGGTTTGACTAATTAGTGCCAAATTTCTATCAAATATGAATGTTTTCTACTAGTGTTATTATAAAGAAAAAAGTTTTTATTGTAAAAAATTGAAGTTTCATATATATATAAAATTAAAATTATTTTTTTTTCTAATGGTGTTGAAAAATTAATAGTTCAATAAAAAACAAAAATTTTGGCGCATAATATTAATATTAAGGTTTGCCTCAATTCATTTATTGTTTTTCCATTTCAATAAAACGGAAATTTTTATTTTTTAAATTTTGAATTCTTATAATTTTGGAATGGTTTGTTTTCGCAACACCCAAGCGAGAGGAGTTATAGACATTTTCACGCTCTACAAAAAACATCTGAAGGTCAAAGTTCTTCAGGTCAACCGTTTCAAAGATATTAGCGATCAAAAATTTTTCAAATAAAATACAAAATCTATGCCATATTTATATTATTTTTTATGTAAAATCACTTTAATTTTGTCAACCTGAGACTGTAAACTTTTTTTTATTATTATATAGGTACATATATATATATATATATATATATATATATACTATGTATATTATACATAAATCATAACCAAACATATGTAGGACTAAAAAATATAAATTTGTATAAATTTTCGTAAAACTTTATAAAATTTTTTTGTAAGCGAGTTATAAAATTCATAAGCAAAACAGAAATTTCTCTTAAAATAATTAAACTTTAACCTTCGATATCTTTTTAACGGTGAGGTTTACGAAAAAATTGTAAGATATCTTTTTTGTAGAGCGTTCGATTTCCTACATATGAGGAGAGTTATTTTTTAACGAACAGTTGTTTCTAATACTGAGGAAAAAATGGAAAATTGTAAAGCGGAGGACCTTGTTATCAAAATTAAGAGCTCATGTTTGGTGAGAATTCTCTAGAGTTGTCTAGTAACCAATTTTTCAAAGTACAAAGTAAAAAAAAATAGTCGGATTTTTGACCCACCCTAATACTGCTAGGGTTTTGCTATTCCAATAAAATTGAAAATTGGACAAATAGGACATGGTACAGTAATTTTACTCAGAATGTAAAAATATATGGGGTGTTCTTTTTGAAATTGTCCTATTGACATTGAAAATGTCTTATGGTCCAAAACCATTAATGTTTATCATCGAAAAACGTAATCGTTACCTTAGAGTATATAAAACGTGGATAAACCTTATGGGGGATCCCCATAAAACATTTTGACAAGTTTTTCGAAATAAATAAAAAACCGGCAATCCTTTTAGTTTTCTGGTCGAAGTGGCGGACTTTAATTTCGGACAGCAGTACAACGACATGGAGTATAAAACGTTCAGGGAAAGATTGCGCGACTCCCTAAGCGAAGCTTTTACGAGGGACGCGGGTCCCAGTGGTTCCTCCTCGGAACCATCAGTATGGCCACCTGGCGGCAGAAAGTATGGCGCTATGTCGTAGAAATATTCTTTTTTTATATAATTTTTATCGAAGTGATATTTTACTCGCATACACCAGTAATTAATTTTATAAGTAAGATTAGGGGCGCCTTATAAAGAATCGTTCAAAAATTACACTTGGCAACGTGTTTGTGCCTAGTGTTATTTTTGTAAAAAAAGGATTAATTTTTTTATGTATATACATATTGTTGAGATTATTAGGTTCAGCTTAAATTAGGGCTTAAAGAAAGAAGTATTTACTACTTAAAAAAAAATTTTGTGCAGCATAGAACTTGGACATTTTTTTGTCCAAATCAAGTAAGAAATGTTGTTTTTATTGCAAACATGTATATTTTATTGTATAATATTAAGCACACACTTAAAATTTACTGTAATTGTAATTTATTGATTGAATTTTATGTTGGAAGTGATAAGTATGGACTGGCTATTTATATTGAGAAATAAAAGAAATTAATTTTTAACACGGTGTTTTTATTAACCTTTTCTACTTATATAAGAGGATTTAATGATTTTTTAAAATATTATATTATAAAAAAAGTATAGTATTTCAATTAGACACGAACGAAGCTTGCTATAAAATGAGTAAAAACGAGTTGCGAACTAAAGTTAAAGTTTCTTCCCTTAAAAATTGACTAGTAACCGTTTAAATCCGATATTTAAGCATTTTTTCACAGTGAAAGTGAAGAGGATGTTTGTAGTTCTTTATCGGCAAATACTACGAGGTATATTTAGTGAGAAAATATAATGAATTTTAGGATTTAACGAATTGTCGGTTTGACATTTGAAATTAAAATTTAGAGTTATAATTCATTATTTTAATCATTTGTCAAATGTCAATCAAGAAAAGTGTCAAAATCCTTAGCAACGTGTAAACAAGGTGATAAACATATTGTCGCTGTGATAAAATGCGTAACCATGGAATACTGGCAAAAGAAAATTTTTTAAAACTGATTTAAATCATTAATTAAAATAAAAAAATCACTTGATTTAGATCGTTGATTTAAATCAGGCGAACCCTGGCAGAGGATAATTGTTTATCTATGTACGAGGTGTGTTCAGAAAATAACGGGAATTGTTAAATTTCGCGGGTTCAGAGGGTCCGGTTGTCATAAAATTTTCTTTATTATGTTGGTATACATGCCCCCGAAGTATGATAAAAACTTTAGCTGTTTTCATTGTTTACTTTGTCTGTGGCAGCCGCTAAGGTTAGACGTGTTTTATGAGCTCGGCGATTTTTCGTTCGTTATAAGAAATGGATCAAAGAATTTGTATCCAATTTTGCTTAAAAAATGAAATAGGTAAATTCTGTGAAATGTTAACAAAGGCCTATAGTGAGTCTGCTATAAGTAAAACAAGAGTTTACAAGTGGTATAAGAATTTCCAAGATGGCCGTGAAGACGTTGAAGATGACGAACGCCCCGAACGCACAAGCACATTAACAACCGATAAAAACATGGAAAAAGTGGAAGAAATGGTTATAAACCATCAGAGAAGTCGCTGATGATGTTGATATATCGATTGGCTCATCCCATGAAATTTTTTGGGTATGAAACGCGTGGCAGCAAAATTTGTTCTAAAATTGTTAAATTTTGAACAAAATTTTTGGCCAAAAACAATACTGTAATGATGCCCCAGCCTCCATATTCGTCTGACTTTTTCCTATTCCCAAAAATAAAGAGAACCTTAAAGGGCCGTCGTTTTGCAAGCATAGATGACATTAAAAGCGCATTGCTGAAAGAACTAAAGGCTATCCCAAAGATCGAGTTTTAGAAGTGTTTAGAGTATTGGAAGAAGAGCTGGCGCATATCCAATGGGGACTATTTTGAAGGCGACAACATTAATGTAGACGAATAAATAAATATTTCAAAAGTTATTAAATTATTTCTGCAAAACGATGCATTTTAAAATCTATATTTTACTAAATATTTAATTTAAAATTTGCTAAAATGAGGTTTTACTAATAAGGCTAATATTTTATAGAAAAAATACAGAAATTGTTTGAACCAAAAAACTTGATTAAATATTAAATAACATTATTTTTTTAAATTTTAATTCAATGTACCTCTTTATTGGTAAAAGTAAACAAAATTGTGGGTGTTTTGGAAGGCTTGCCATACAAACACCTTCTTTTTTGTACCTATGAAGATTTTAAAATTCAACTTTATCATAATATATTATAGTGTAGGAAGAAAAATATTTTTCTAAATATTTATTAGATGGAAATCTTAGGTGGGTGTATTTTAAAGCCACAATCTTAGTTTGTCCAATGTTTAATATAAAAAGTATAAAACATGAAATTGTATACCTTAAAAAGTCACATTATAAAAAGTCAAAAATACTCACTAATTAAATAATAAAGTTAGTTTTCCACACCCTCACATGGTCATCTTTACCACCTGAAGCGAAATATTCACCATCGTGACTAAATTTCACTGTATTAACATCTTCTTTGTGCCCTGTTAAGGTATATAAAGGCCTTCCTTCCATAACATCAACGATTACCAATCTACCTTCAGTTCCACTTGAAATTAGATAATTTGCCTCCGGGTGCCAATCCACACATGTAGCCTGCTCGTGCAACGTGTAATGTTGCTGTAGTTTTCGCGATTTAACATCGTATAACCTCACAGAGCCTGAATCAATGGCTGCAGCAATGTAATTGTTATTTTTGTGTACCGCAATGTATTGCGGAGAGCTTTTGATCAACGGGAAAGTGTGGATTAAATGCCCGCTTCTGGTATCCCACATTCTTATAGTTCTATCATCAGAGCAAGATATAAGCATAGAACCATCAGGTGAGAATTTTGCACATCGCACCCAGCTATTGTGGCCCAAAAACGAGGTTATAAACTTCTGGGTTTTACTATCCCACAGTTTGATTGACTTATCATGCGCCCCAGTGATAATTTGCGATCCGTCGTTGGAAAAACTCACCGTTCTTATTGTCGACTGGTGTGGTTTAAAGTCTGTGTATCCGCCTCTAATGGTAGGCACCCACAATCTCACAGAAAAATCTGCTGAAGCCGAAGCAAACAGTTTACCATTGGGGGAGTACTCTAAAGCCGTCACTTTGTTCGTGTGCCCGATGAAGTTGTAACTCCTCATCTTTTCCTGCCCATGCCAAACAATTATGGAATTGTCCTCGCTCGAACTCGCAAATTCCACTTGTTTCGGGTTAAACGAGATGTCGGTCACCGCCTTTTTGTGCCCTTTTAGGTTCATGCACAAACACGGATCCTGAGACGACATTTTAGCGGTACTTTGCTTATAAAAAGACGTAACAAAACAAACAGTTGTTTAGTTTAAACTGACAGAATTCAAAAAGTGAGATCACAGAGACATCTACGTAAATAAAGCTCAACTAAGGTTATCAAAGCAACTACCATAGAAATATTGCTATAGTTTGGTAATTGTATAACAGATGTCGCTGGTAGTATCGAAACAAATGAAATTTAAATGTCATAACAAAATTAACCAATAATTATTATCATGCAAGAAAAGACCTCTAGATTGAATTAAACAAATCTTACGAAGTAAAAAAGCATTATTTTATAAATGCTTTCCCATAAATTATTTCGTCGTTAGCGTAACTAAAAGTTCCTTATTCGACATTTCGTGGAAAAACAAATCGGAGAGGCGTCAGCCGTTGCGCTAAATGTGGATAACAGAGACGAAAAGAACGAACAATAGGGAAAATGATGTTCCCTTTGTTGAAAAACGTTTTGCTGATTGGGTAAGAGTTATTTTTTTCGATTGGAAATTAACGTTGCTATTGCTATTAATTTCTCCATGTTAGAAAATAAATTGATTGACAGGCTATTATCATTGACAACGCTATTATGATATATTTCAAATCAACCTATGGGAAAGGTGTATAGCTTAAAATGACAATAATCGCGATACCGTAGTGATTTTTGATTGGTTGGAACAATTTTAACGAATAATTTGATTTTAATCGACTTTATTTAATCAACTAATGGGAAGGATGCAAAGCTTAAAATGACATAATCGCGATATGACGGTCATTTTTGATTGGTTGGAACTACTTTGACGAATAATTTTAGTAATTTTTGATTGGATGGAATTATTTTTAGAAAAATTACCTTACTTTAAAGCAAAGTTTTTCTTGCAATTTTTTTACCCTGTCAGAAACTTTTAATTAAAATAACTAAAAGCTATAAAATTTTTGCGAGCAAAAATGTCGATTATAAAATTAATAAACAGCACTTGATGTTTAAATGTTTTTTTTTTTTGCAAAAAATACAATAAAAATTGCTGGTTGTTACGTAATTACGTTTTAAAACTTGTAAAATCGACACTTATCCCATTCAGTTTTTTTGCCTTGCCCTGTCCCGTCCACGAGCTCTAATTAAAATTCCTACGACCTGGATGTGTTGTTAAAATAATTTTAAATTGCGAAATTTTTGTTTTTTTATAGGTACCTACCTACTTTTTTTCTGTTTTTTACAATTAAATAATTTGCTATTCTGCTGCTATGCTGTTTTATAAACCTAATAAATATTTTGGATATTTTTAATTTTTAAAAGCAACGAAAATTATATTTTGGTTTACAACTTTGTGTTCTACTGTACAGTATTTCCATTGTAAGGGGTGCGACACCAACACTGCGTTTTTTAATGATAATAAAGTGTTTGTTCATATATGGGTGAATTTCACGAAATGGTGTTACCCCGTGATATTTAATAAAACTAAATGAGTTTGACCTACACTTTTATTGTGTTTTGATCTTTCATAATTAAGTACATATTACAGCTCAGGTTCCAGATTTTTAACCGCAATTAATTATTTTTTACAATGTTTTAAAAGTCTAAAACCTATCCTCCGTGACGGTTACTCTTTCTAGGTTAACCTATACCTATGTTTTCAAATATCTAAGGTAGTAAAAGCATACTAAAAATATCAGTAATTTAAACACAACCAAAGCAATCGAATCAAATATAAAATAATATTAAAAATTAAAAGAAACAATTTTTATAACCATTTATGTGGGTTACAAAAATTGATTCTATCCTCCGTGAATCTGTTTTTGCTTTAAATTTTATGCAACGGATGGCGCTTTAATAAATTTTAAATAAGCAAAAACCTCTGTTTACGACATTATAGATGCATGTGATTCCTGAAGGTCAGTTAGAATTTATATGCAGATGAGAGTATTGCTGTTTTATAATTCAAAAGTTTAAGTTAATGCTATTTAAAAACCTATCTATAGGTGGATATATCCACCGTGAAGTGTAAGTAGATTTCAAAAGATACAATAACTTATTTCAAATATACAAAGGGGTGTTTAAAAAAACATACGAAATCCTAACCTCCGTGAAGCTATCTTCCGTGAAGATCTAATATTCAAAATGTATGATTTCTTAAAATTCTTGCATTAGTTCAGTTATGTTATTACTAGACCTGGTGGCTTCCCAAAAAACCCATTCTAGACTAAAAACCAAAAATAAAATATAATCGTTTACACATCTCAATCTATTCACTCATGAGTGAATAGATTGAGATATATATGCATATATATGTATATGTATATACATGTATATACATATACATATACCTGCAGGTACATCAACATACGTTAATATACAAAAATAGTATAAAAAATTAGGTATTTAACTTTAACATGTCAATAAAAACTTGTATAGAAAATTGATACTGTAAAATTTTGGATGAAAGAAAATAATAATAATTTTTTGTGCAAAACTTGAATAGTAACCCTAAACAAGCACGTATTTTAAATGCACAAATATTTTCTAAAATGTTCTCAAAATGTAACGGGTGCGACATTTGAACATTCTATCGAGTATTGAAACTCTTCCGTGTTCATTTTTAATGTTAGCTTCTTAGCATCCATGATACTAGGTACATCGTATCATGTTAGCATCACAATGTACGAATATTTTGTGGTTATAAACTGTGTGACTTCAGACACCTATATATAGTTATTAATTGTTAAATTACATCTGATTTTCGCGGACATACCCTGTATAAAAACGACTTTTAAAAATGGAAAACTCCATTTCCTTAATGTATTAAATGCCAGAACCCATACGGTTTTGCATTTATAAAACAGGGGGCCATGTACCTATTTAAAATTTAAATGCGCACACTAAACACCTAAATAATTTATTCCCGCCTCGTCGGACCACAAAGTGTCATATTCCATTTTTCCGCGACAAGATAACGACGAAAAATTGTTTATGATAGCATAATTACGAGGCGTTTTCAATTTCCACTGTCACATCGACACCTGAGAATCTTTAGAATTGTTTCGTCGACTTTACAGGGGGGATCCACCCCTCAAAACTAATTCCCGCAATTATTTTAGAAGGGCTGTTGCGCAAATTGCTGTAGAAACTTATTTTATTACAAATGCTTACAGTAATATGATCCTCATTAACAATAAGGCACAAAAACAGTAATAAAACATTATTTAACATAAAACAAAAGTTGGCCATGAAAAATCACGTTCTGTAATTTGACGTTTCTAATTTTGAGGTTAGAATATCTAACTTCATGATATTTATAATCTGTAGTTATTTGTGATTATAATCTAAATTGGGGTAATTATATATCTATCTAAATTTAAAAATTCTTAAATAACTGTTCATTTTTTATCTGGACTGCGGCAACGTTGCAAATTTAGGGTTTTGGTTGGTAAATACAGTTGTCAAGTTGGTCGCATTGATTAAAACAAACTAAGCTAGTTATAAATCTAATTGTGGTTATGTATAAATTATTGCAGGTTACATTGTGCAGTTGTCAAGTGGAGTTGTCGAAATTCGTAGTTAAAAATGCAATTAATTTGGCTTTGGTGGTGCTTGGATGAGTAAAATCATATACAAAAAGTAGTTAAATATAGGTTGCTTTACGTCCCAGAAGAGAAAGTATTTCTAGCGGATAATAATCTTCGCTTTGAATTTCAAAGTTTGAAAAGGTTTATACACTCACAGGCAAAATAATCGATCCACACAAATTTTCGATGAATTTCAATCGCAAATAACTTTTTTATTTGATGTCGAATTTAAACGAATATTAAAGAATATTGTAGATAAATTAATGGACAATCGCTCACATTTTAAAAAATTACTATATAATAGACGTACGTTTATAATATACAGGTTTAAACAAAAAGATGTTTTTTACCATAAGTTTAAGACACTCTGTAGAGTGGCAAAACCGTATATTGTTCTAAATTAAGTTTTATTTATCAAGTCACATCTATTCTTAACAGTTTTGTTTTTGGTTCACCTCGATATATTTATTTTTGTGAAAAATATGGATTTTTTAAAAAAACATTGCAATTTCCAATATTTTTCTGTATGAAGAACTAAGGTTACTATGGTCCATCCATATGCTATGGAGAATGACAGTGACAGTTTTGTTGAATCATCCCATACTTGGACATGTCATACACGGCTTTCAAAAGCTATCAAATTGTTTTTGCAAATTAATGATTAAATTTTGAGGTGTCTTCTCACTTTAAAAAATGGATATGTCCCCGACTGATGTTGCCAGAGCCATTAATTTAATCCAGGATGGACGGTCACAGTATTACGTGGCAAGTGTTTTAAACGTCACAAGAAGTAAAGTACAAAGGGCAACATCAGTCGGAGACATTTTTAAAAGTAAGAAGACACCTCAAAATTAACACATTAATTTACAAAAAACAATTTGAAAGCTGAAAGAATTTTGAAAGCTGTATATGACATGTCCAAGTATGGGATGATTCAACAAAACTGTCACCCTCCGTAGGCTATGGATGGACCATAGCAACCTTAGTTCTTCATACAGGAAAAATATTGGAAATTGCAATGTTTTAAAAAAAATCCATATTTTCCACAAAAATAAATATATCAAGGTGAACCAAAAATCTAAATGTTAAAAATAGATGTGACTTGATAATTAAAACTTAATTAAGAACAATATACGGTTTTGCCACTCTACAGAGTGTCTTAAACTTATGGTAAAAAACATCTTTTTGTTTAAACCTGTATATTATAAACGTACGTGTATTTTTTAGTAATTTTTAAAATGTGAGCGATTCTCCATTAATGTATCTACAATATTCTTTAATATTTGTTTAAAATCGAAATCAAATAAAAAAGTTATTTGCGATTAAAATTCATCGAAAATTTGTGTGGATCGATTATTTTGCCTGTGAGTGTATATAAGAAATTAATTAAAAAAAAAATACTAAATCAAACTTGCATAAGCTACCAACTTAATAATAAAAAAATGAACTGTATTTTATATTATAACAATGTCAATTTGCACCAATAGCGTAAACTCAAA